AGGGAAAGACAGAATAATTATGAGATCAACTTGTGCAAGCTGCAATCCAACGTGCTTCACCAAATCTCAACAAATATTAAGACAAAACTGCACAACAGTGGCAAGGATGTATATGTAAAAAAAAAAAGTATTTAAGGGCTAATTAAATAGATGTTGTAATAATTTAATTAGATTGGCAGCTACTGATCACATTTACTGGAAAAACCCTATTTTATATATAGCTTTATGTTAAAGCTATATAAATCCACATTTGACGATTAAGACATTTCAGCTAAAATTTCCCCTAACAGCTTTTAGTTAAATTAACATAAGAATTTTAGACCAGCCCTAACTTTACATGCAGTGTGACTCAGTTACCAAAAATCTTAGAGTTATCTTAAGATTACTTCCATTTGCTCAAGGCATACTATCCACTTCTGCTAAGTTCTTCATATATAATCAAGAGTGTCCAAAATGTGCAAATAACTGTCTCCAAATGTTTTAACCTTGGAGGCTGTAAAATGTTTTGCAACATTAAGAATCTCATTCCTTATTGGTCCTTAAGATATAATATTAGGTTCTCCTATTACTGTTTGTCAGAGTATTTCATAATCTAAAGTATATTTCACATGGAAGCTGAGAGGAGGGGAGAGGTCTGGGTTTTGGTGGAGCTAAGGGAATGGGGGGCACTGGCAGGGAAAGGCCTTCTTTCTCTCAGACACATTGAAATTAAAGAACGCGTGGCAATCCAGACAGTATACATCCCCCACCGGCTTTGCAGCTCTCCACCTGAGAGTCATTGTGGGTTCTGGTTTTTTTTTTTTTTTGTAGAAGCAAAATAAAACTTCTCTCATGCAGTTGCACCTTTGATATCATATAAATGGTTCAAGTTACACAGTTATATGAAAATTGTACTGTGTAACATTTCCACATAATTGTTTAGGTATAGCTTAGGTTAGGGCAATGCTGCTATTCCCTGTTCCAAACTTTCCAGCTTCCTGAACTATCCTACTTCAATGTCTTGCATTTTATTTTTTTGGGTACACCAGAGTCACATTTTCAAATTTTACTCTGCAGCTGAGTTAGGTACTATGAAAAGGTGTACCTTCAGGAACCCAGGCCCTAATGAAACAATCAAACACTGCAACATTTACAGTAAGACAACAGGATCTGGAAACACTGGAATTACTGGCTTTTACTTTATTGCAGGATAACTAGACTACTGCAGTACCAAAAAAAATGAAAGCTTCTGCAAAAAATTCTGCGTTAAATCAAAAAAAAAAAAAAGGGGGGGGGAAACAATCACAAGAGAACTTAATCACAGAGAAAGACAACATTAAAATTTTGGTCTAGCTTCATGACAATCTAGACACTGGAATGCCACTCATCAATCATTTAATCTGTGCAACAAAACTAGTACTTCACAAACATCACACAAACAACACTGACTCTGGAAACCATGTTCTATGCTGACAATTTGTGCAAATTCCACACCATTTTTATGGCATAGTGGATTTCCAAATTATTTGTATGAAGCAGCTAAATTCAACTCATTCATTCACTCATTTGATGTTACTAGAATTTAAAATTCCTCCCCTATTTTGCACAAAATGGGCATCTGGAAATATTTAATGCCACTCTTGGGGGAAAAAAAAGAATGGTTTTACTTTGCTATATAATTTAGGATTCATTCTGATTTAATTCTTATGGTAAATTCTGGATCCATGTATGAATTAACCTAAGAATTTGAATCAACTTATCTGTTAAGGCTTTCTAGTACTTCCTAGAGACACTAAGGGTGTAATCCTGTACCTACTGAACAAAGCTGCTTAAAAGATTTGCCGCTGGGGGTCAGGAGAGCTAGGATTTCACCTTGGTCTTCAGACACAAAAAGTTAGTGAAAGTCTTAAAGCAACGCATTAACAATAGCAAATCAACCTAATTAGAACTTTTACTTTTTCCATTGCCAGATGTGCATTATTGTCTTTTTTTAATTTTTCTTTTTTTTATAGAAAAAATAGAGTATTTAAGGAGAGACCGTGACAAATTGCAGTGAAAAATTTATTTGTGAAAGTTTTATCTTTACATTCATTAAAGTGATCTGAAATGCTACAAGACTAGATGCCTAGAAGCAAAATCTACAGGAAGACTATAAAGGCTTCTGGTCTCTCTATATTGCAGTCAGTCTAAAAGAAAAGAAAGGCTGAAATGAAAGTCTCTTTTGCTAACTAGTCCTTCTTCCCAACCAGATTTGAAAACTAAAAAATTAAAGGGTATGTTAGAATGTGTAGAGCATCATTTCATTGTTTGGTTTGCACACAGAACAGAAGTTCACAATCAGTAAGAAAAATAGAAAGTTAGCAACTGTGCATGCACCAAAAAGCCCTAAGACAGTTCTCAGGTTTTTGTGAGTGTGGTTTTTTTTGTTTTTCCTTTTTTTTTTTTTTCACAGGCATTGCTAGTTCAAGAACCAACAGTCAAAGAATACTGGCACTTTAAGAGGAATGAAGTTTCCACTGTCATTTAAAACAAGCATTCAGGTAAAGCTAACAGGATCATGAAGCAGAAAGTAAAGTAATGCTAAAACAAATGCTAATAATTTAGTGTAATGTACAAAAATTACTTAAGTACTTCTTAAGAATAAGCATAAATTGTATTTACATAATTATACACTTTGTCTTTGTCTTCTTTTTCTTCTTTTTACCATCTTTGCTCATCTTCTCTTTGTGTTTTCTGATTTCTCGAACTAATGTGTAGAAGGCATCATCAACACCCTGAAAAGATAAATACATGCACACATTAAGATCACATGAACAGACTTATATGCCTGCTTAGGTGCAGCCTGTTTTCATCTGACCTGATCAGGCAAAGCGTGTTCAATCAGCAAGCAGTCTGTTTTGCTGCCTGCCAGGAGAGGTGACACTCTCTTTTCCCTTCTGAGGCTTTTATAATGTCCCGTTGAGCAGGCTGTGGGTTGGAGGAATTGCCAGGGCAACGGTCCTCTCAGGCGTTCCTGTTTCTCGGGAAGGGGTGTGCTGGGAAGAACATGTTCAGATGGAATGAGGGGAACTGCCGTTGTCTCCTGTCATAGGAGGAACACATCTGACCACACTTACTGTGTATGGGCAGAGTGACCTGCAGGAGAGCAGCTTTGGCAAACGGGCTGCCACTGCTTGAACAATTAATCCTGGCTACAGGGTGTTCCTCTCCTGAGTTCTGGGGGGCACTGAAACAACCTGAAGGAACTGTTTTGATGCCAGCAAGAGCTAGCACCTGCGTGTCCTTTCTCAGCTGTTCCCCAAACTGGGCTAACAGCAGCCTGCAGGTGACCCTAGGGGTTGACAACAGATACCCCATAAGTCCAGTTCCATTATTAATGTGGTAAGGAAAACAATTTAGTGTACTGCCCTCTTCTCCATCTCAAAAAGGGCACGGGTTGTCCCACCTCAAACTAGAAAAGTACAGGTACCACACATTTAGATTATGAGTTTGTATATTATTACCACAGAATAAAATAGTGAATCGTTAGCTTTGTTTATGCATTAGTAATCTACATGCAGCTTTAAAACATAAATACAAATATTTGTAACAAGAATTCAATACCAAAGAGATAGTTATGATTAATCTACGTATTCAGGTCATTTCTCAGGCATGCTGATACAGTAATCACACCACTGTCTTATAAGTCTTTACATATGCAAATCAATCAAATCAATCCCACGCTCCAATCACAAATTATGATTTGATTAATCATTCTATTCAACTTACATAGTTAAAGACACATAGGACACATTATCTATGGTACTATATCATGTACAGTCATTTTAAAAATCCATGGCTCCAACAGTGAAACTACAGACACAAAAGCTAACATTTCTTCACATTTGAGTAGTTTTTCATTTTTTAGGGGGTAACTGTAGCTGACAAAAATTAACTCTGGTCAAAAGAGACAAGCTTATCTAAAAGCCTGATATGAACCCTTATAAAGTGCAATGTTACACGGTATACTTTGTAACAACCTATTTATGTGATATAGTTTATACTACTGCCTAGCTTTCAGGTTGCTCCAAATTCTGAGCAAGTACCCATGTTCTCAGTCAGTCTTTACACTTAATAGTTTGAGTACTGACAGCTATAAAACCATGAAGATAAAAAAAATGATCTTGACTCTTCACTGCCTTATTCCTTACGTTATCTTTTAGATAGATCAAAAATAGTCATATAATGTTAATGTATCACAGCAGCCAACTGCACCACAACTGTGTCTAGACATTTAGCCTTACAACTGGCAGGCAGCTTCATAGAATCATAGAATGGTTTGGGTTGGAAGGGACCTTAAAGATCATCGAGTTCCAACCCCCCTCCCATGGGCAGGGACACCCTCCACTAGCCCAGGTTGCTCAAATCCTCATCCAGCCTGGCCTTGAACACCTCCAGGGATGGGGCATCCACAGCTTCTCTGGGCAACCTGTTCTAGTGCCTCACCACCCTCACAGTAAACAATTTCTTCCTCATATCTAATCTACATCTACTCTCTTTCAGCTTAAAACCATCACCCCTCGTCCTCTCACTACACTCCCTGATAAAGTGTTTCCCCATCTCTCCTCTAGGCCCCCTTCAGGTACTGGAAGGCCGCTATAAGGTCTCCCTGGAGCCTTCTCTTCTCCAGGCTGAACAGCCCCAACTCTCTCAGCCTGTCCTCACAGGGGAGGTGCTCCAGCTCTCTGACCATCATTGTGGCTCTCCTCTGAATTCGCTCCAACAGGTCCACGTCCTCCTTATGTTGGAGGTCCCAGAGCTGGATGCAGTACTCCAGGTGGGCTCTCACGAGAGTGGAGTAAAGGGGAAGAATCACCTCCCTCCTACCTCTTGTCAGCTAGTTTGCCTTCAAGCTGCCAATAAAAATTAACAGTCCCTGTTTACTCCTGTCTGCCTACTTCAGTAAAAGAACTGAAAGTGAACTCTGAAAAAAGCACAACAACAAAAAGCCAAAAAAATCTTCCAATTCATTACTGTTTCAGTCAAACACCAAATGGTGACGAAACTTAATATGGAAAGTCCAAACAACAGTGAGCTGTTAAATAGCTTCACTTACAAAGCAACACTCCCGGTATAAGCTAAATTTATTTAAAACCGTCACATTCAAGTTTGTAAAATGTTTACAAATAACTGATGTTTGATCAAAGTCCTTTGCAGCCTACCCCCCAATACTAATAGCACACTTTTGCAAGGCCTTGTAATATACAAAATACACTTGCAAATAACTTATTCTACATTTTAAAATATTATGGATCAATATAAAATTGATGGAGCATGCCTAACATAAGAGTAGCCTTGGTTCTGGAAAAGATCACGTACCCCATGAATCTTCTGAGAATTAGAAATGCTTGGTATTATTTTACTGAAAGCTAGTGTATTTTCCTTATAACTTCAGCATTAATACATAAAGTGAACATTTAGCAACATTCATTTGAAATAATCTAGAAGTAGTGATGGTTCAAACTGTATCTACTGTAGTTCTCATCTCAGACAGCCAGCTAGGAGGAAAGCATTAAGAATCAATCACAACAGATTAGTTTCATTCTCAGAACACAAGAATGGTATAAGAAAAACAGCTGCACAATATTCTTCGACAAGACTGTTCACATTTCCTTACAAAGCTACCTTCCAATATTTCACACTCATCATTAATGTGTTAGAAAAATAATCATTATGAAGACAGTCACTGGCTTTCAGCATTGTCTTCAAATGAGACATACTAAACAAAAAATGCAATTTACATCTTCAAATGAGCACCCCTCCCTCATTAAACTGGTTTTAAAATAAATACAGAGAAAATAACTTGTACAAAGTAATATCTAGAAACAATTATGGGCCTTTAAACACATGACTTCACAATTAAGGCTGAAATCTTTATTCTACCTAGTAAGGTGATGATCTTTTAAATACAGCACATGTTACAAAATATTAGGGAACTGACTTAGCTTTCATCCTTGCATTTACACCTTTGTAGATCAAGCCTTTGATATTATTAATTATGTATTTAGTAGTTTGGTCCTGACACAATTCCTCTTAAAATTTAGGTAATGAATATGATATGACATACAAAACAACGTTTAGAAAATTTGTGAATTAGAACTGGAGAACTCAAACTGAGGTATTTCACTTAAATGTAAGTACTGGATACTCTGCTTACCGAAGGTCCCTAAAGGCATCAATACTGTAAGATCAAAGGCGATCAACCTTTCTAGTTACTCCTTTCAGTAAGAAGGGACTGCATGCAGCTGACCTTCCTCCCTCTAACAATACGGTTTTTGTATGCAAGCTTTGTGGAAAGCGTAAAACGTACTGAATGAGCTCTTTACATCCAGGCTCAGGATTAAAACCTCAAAATTCACTGTGCATGCTCAGAACTACATGACACTGCCTCAATAAAAGTGTGTTGATGGAGCTTGCTCCAGGCACCTAATTTTCCAAAGGGCAACTAGAAAATGCAAACAGAACAGAAAAATCAGAACAGTCCCCACAGAAACAGCCTGCTCCTGGCTACAACTTCTCTTTGGAGCACCACATGGTCCCATGACCACACAGAAGTCGGCATATCTAGTTACATGGCTACAAGTATCTTTGAGACTGGACAACTAAACTGACTCTATCAATAAGAAATCCTGAACTATAAGGAACTGGAAATTCCTGGAGATTTGAGGACCAAACAGACCCTTAAACAAGTTTTAAACTGCGTGAGTCTTTTTATTACATATTTATTTTTAATAAATACAACACTACATACATGGACACACATGTATCTATCAGTCATGAGGATAATATATTAGTATACTTTAGTAGTACCATGGAAAAAAATTATGAAACTAGTTTTTATCAAGATTCTAGAAATTAATGAACTTTCATAATTCAAACATTTTAATATTAATCCAGCTCAATCTGAATTGCCTTATCTAAACATCTAATTTGTACCTTAGAGAAATTTTTCATTATAGTAGCTTTTTATGTAAATCTTTTGTGCTTTCCAGAAAGATATTTTGAGGATTTTACACTGCATTTTAGAAATTTCTTCTTGATAGCTGGAAATTATAAACTGAGCAAAAGGTATTATGTACTTTCTGCTTTACTGTTTAACAGGCAAAGTAATGAACCTGTTGGAAAGCATCAGCAGTTAACAGTAGGTAATCCAAGTAGTTAAAATTTTAATTTACATTGTACAACATTAATATAACTAGGAAAGCATCCCATAAGCAGCAGAAAGATAAACTGAATATTCCAAGAGGTAGCAAAACACTCTGAACCATCAAATTTGATTATCCACAGGCAAAAAAAAAGAAAATAGATACTGTCTGTCATTGAAAACTGTGTTACAATAACTATTTCCAAAGTCTCAAATCCCAGCTGAAAGACTCACATCATTAGGTGCTGCCCTCCTTGGCTTATCTACTATACATCAGACTGAAATAATACATTAACTTCTTACTGAATGGAAAGCAACACAAGCCAGACTGTTTTAAATACCAGATTTCTTATTACACTAGAATCACTACTGAACTACAGCTGTACCACAATAATTTTGGAATATGCTTTCTCCAGCTTAACCTCCTAAACACAAAGTTGCTGAAATGGCTATCAATACTATGTAGAATTCACTTAAGTGTAAAGACAAATGTTTCCTCCTCTGAGCAGACACTCTTGATGTTCAAGAATCTTATATCCAAGACTATTTTCTAAATAGGGTATAGAAAAAAAAAACCCACACCCAAAAAACCCAACCAACAATATCCATCAAAATCAAACTATACTTTTCTTGCATATAGGCAAAAAGAAAGCAGGAAACTAGTAGAAAGAAAGCATATCTTTGCTGAGCCATCAAAAAGAATCTTAAAATCTGAAAAGATGCTTCCACTGAAAAAAATAATGAAAACCACAATTCCCACCATCCCATTCTCACTCTCCCAGGGAAGTCCACAGAGAGGAAAAGCAGACAGAATTCAGGATCTATAAAGTCCTTGTATACAAAAAGAAATTCTACTTTGAGATATGGCTATGTTAGTAAGACTGCAAGAAACAGCAAAGTTGGTTTTCAGAAGGCTACACGAAGGAGGCTTAAGCAATTTAATTCATATTGCTCTCATCAAAAGTAATCTTGTCAACCTACTATTATTTGTTTTTTTTTGATAGCTAGGAAAGAATATAACAAGGTATTTTGATGGCATCAATTTTATTGATATTTGGATGCAAGCCGGGGGAGCTTCGAAACTAAGTTTCCAGTTTCCTGCAAAGGAAACCTTTGCTACAAACAGTATCCCAAAGTATCTTTTTTAAGGAAACATCTACAGACTAATCTCAGAGCAGTCATCGTCCACTTAAAAGCTGAGAATAGCCGGAGCAGATCTAGTAAAAACTGATTTGAAACAAAATTTCTCCTCCGTTCCCCAGAAAAAGGAATAAAACTCCCTTATTGAATGGAATATTCAGTTGTGACTATTCATTCATACAGTTGTGACAGTCTCTTTAGGATACAAGTCAGATTTCACTACCTCTCTGCAAGATGTTCTGAAGTATGAAAAAACACCTTGAAAAAGCAAACGGTTTTTCTTTTACACAGTGGGAAATTCCCAGTCATCTTCCTGCTGGACAACTACATTAGGAGTAACAACCCACCGTCTGCAGTGGCAGAGTAAGAGGTAAAGAATTAATGGGACAGTAATAAATGCCAGGAGCTATGGTTTGTTCAAAAAGCACTGGAAATGATTTACACCTAGCACTTCTTCCATATCACAGTTTCTTCTTCCCTGTCCGCCTCATCTTTGTTTTTTCCTTACAGGAGTGCCCAAAACAACAATTTTGCAGCAACTTGTCTATTGGTTGTTGTTTGGGGGTGAGGGGTAGCTTTGTTGGGTTTTTTTCTCTCCAGTTTTATTTTGCTGTTGCTTCTCCCCTCCCCTGCCTTTGTAAAGGCCCTCAAAAAAACTGAAACCCTACCATTCTGTCCAAATCTGGATCACTCATGGCATTATAGCTGACAAAAAAGGAAGACTAATGTATTTCTGGAAACTATAAGAATGAATTTTTTAAGCTAGGGGAAAATGGCATGGCATAAGGAAAGGCCTGAAAATTAAGAAATACTGTATGCCAGCTACATACTGCTTTGCTCGATTAGGAACCTCCTGTTTCTGCATCTGAGAAGGACTATAAATGTTATGACCCTCTTCCCTCACTTAATCAACCTGAAAGTCCAATCAATATTCACTTCAATACTATCTGCAATAAAACTTTTAACTTCTTCACACACAAAACTGGGTCTCCGTTTCACAGATGGAGAACTTGATATGCAGTAAAGACTTCTTGTTAATCTATTTATCAAAACCCATGAAACAAAGCAAATCCACACTACTTGGGTGTTTGCCAGGAATACTATTCAGGATTACTATACTGGAATCTGATTGGTTTTATATCTTAAATTATGACATAAATTAATCATAAAATGTCTGATTTGCAAGACAATCATTTTCATTTGGCAGGTGATTTGTAAAACTTACCCTGTTACATTACAAGGCATTTTTTAATTTTCACGCACCCTGGGGTCTTTTCTTCTTTGCTGAGTTTTTTCACTCTGTACTGACGAATCTCTCGCACCAATGTATAAAAAGCATCCTCCACTCTCTGCATTGTAAAACACAACTCCTTAAAAACTGCTTCATTAACAATTGTGACATACTGGGATACCCATAGCAGGGGAAAAAAAAACACAACAAAACCACTGAAATTATGAGCTTTACCTGAGAGAAGTATACAGATCTCCATTTATATATTTAAAATGCTGGGTTTGCACCTTTGCTGCTTGATAAATACTTCTTAATGCAAGTAAGAGAGACACACTCAGAATTTACTGATTGCCAATCATGGTGAATAGCTATGCTTCAAGCCCTCCTTTTATATGTGCAAGGTAACACTTCGACAAAACTTTTTTTCTCCCACTGCATACCATGCTGAAAATAATATCACTTGTGTTACTGAATCTTTTCACACTTTTTTTGTGGGGATGGATGCATTTAAAAGGCACAAAACTTTCCCAGATTGGTAACTGGGGGGGTACTTATAAAGACACTCAGTGAGCCATCTATTTTAACTTCTTAGTCAAAGTGAAAACCTGTTACTGTTTGGGCAGGCAAAGAAAAGTGAGTTCATTTATGTTCTGTTTTTGATTTAAGAAGGTGTACTTTCTTTGCAAAAATCTGTGGAACAAACTAACAAAGTATAGAAAAAGTCTAATCAGGTGATTTCCTAAGAGGTTACAAAGAAATACAATCTTCTAAGAATACTAAATTTTGGGCAATATCATTTTTAAAGCTTCTTACTTTACCCAGCAAGCACTACTCTATTAAATTTAGGAAAAGGGATACCTGAGTCATAACAAAGTGCTTTTAAGAAGCACCTTAAGTACATTTCAGAGTAACTTTCCAAAGTAATTACTTATCGTAATTATTGAAGTTATTCTTCCATGCAGAAAGAGCAAAACATTCATTATCACCATGTGTAAGAGGTTGGTGCACATCAACATACAAGGCACACCTCATCCGGCCTCTCTGGGCCAGACTAAGGCAACCGCAAGGGTCCTATAATAACAACTAAGTTCAACAAGCCTGTGAAGTTGTTCTGCTCAGATCTTTCTCTGGTTGAGGAGACATCTTCAGCTATTCCAGGGATGATACAGAGCTATGTATTTGCTTCATCTGGCCTCACATCCTACCTTTCTGTGGCTCTGTGTTTAGGCCACTTGGATATGATGATACCATAAGCATTTAAATTTAAAAAAAAAACAAAATGAAACAAAAAAAGAACCCCCAAAACGAAACAAAAAAAACCCAAAAAACAACACAAGTATGAGGACTGAAGAGATCTTTAACCAAATACAAGATAAAGAGGTACAGAACCAGCTTTAAGTTATAACATCCTTTATTTTAAACTGAGTATATCTGTGCATAAACTTAAAAATTTAGATAAATCTATGAGGATGTTCTTGTTATAACAGGGTGCAAAGTGTTTAGCTGCAGCTTTTAAAGGGGAGAGCAAATCTCTCCTCTGCCTTACTGTCAATCTCATTTCCTTGTCTCCTCAGTCAGATCAAGAGGGTTGTTAATTTAATACAAAGTCAGCATTTGAAAAGAAAAACAGAACAGACTGATGATCATGGAAACAAGTACAACCATTTACGCCCCAAAACTTTATTACTACCCAAATGCACAATCTGGGGCTTTATAAGGCAGATTTTCCATAAATTACGTCTCCAAGCCATCTTCATATTATGCATCTAATAACAAAAATAGCTAACATTTACTGCCACAGTTACTGGGTCATTTTGCATGCCATGGGTTATCACATTGAAGACATTCTCAACATACTGCAGCTTATCTGAGGGTTCTTCTGAACTACAGCCACTTGAATTTTAAGATTAAATGAATTAGATTTATTTTGTGGATTGTATTTCTCTGTTATACATAATGTGCCCTGTGTTAGGATGTATTAACCAGTTGACAAGTCTTACATTCCAGGTCTGAGAGTTTTCAAAATGTAAAGAAAGCCATTAAAAACCAGCAAAAAACAAGTAAAGTTCATACTTTCATGTTTTCCTGGAAGCAATGGAAGTTTATCCCTGAAGAGGAAACAGTAAACATTGATGAGCTGCTACCTGCCAAAGCACAGGCTGTACAAGAATCAACATTCTTGCAAATCTACTGTTTTGCAGTAGAAATATGTAATTTGATTATAGAACTTCCACATGAATAATTAGACAGCAATTCTTCAGTCAATGTTTATTGCCAATTTTCCCATCACCAATATGAGCTGCAATTTGCTTTAGCAATGCAGAGAGAGGGAGAGACACAGAGTGAGGAAAGAAATTGCTACTACTGCCACCACCAAGAACAGTCTTACGAATCCTGTTGAAAGAAATTATTCTGAAAGAAAATCTGTACAGACACACATTTGCTAATTTCATTAGCACAAAGTGACATTTTAAAGAGCCAGGCACTAGCCTTATAAACTTAAGTCATTTTAATACCAATTTCTTTTAAGAGTCTTCAGTATTTTTTCCTTAAGTGAACATGGACCACATTATCTAAAATATGCTTAAGCAGTTCCGTTAGCTGTCAGAACTGGAAGCAGAAATATCCTTTGGCAGATATTAAAAACTTCAAAATCTAAACTGATATTTACTTTAACAGCCCAAAGAACTCATGACCTTGAGGCAACATTTTCAAGATTCTTTTGACTCCTGTTCTGCTTCTGTAAATAGTGCTTAAAGGATGCTTAATGAAAATTAGCCCTGACATCTCAAAAGCGGTCTGTGTCCACCCTTATACACTTTGTCGAGTTGGTCTCCTAAAACCATTAGCCAAATAAAATCAAAATTATTCCTGAGGACATGAACAAAAAGAATGCTACTAACTTGCGTAAAAGCACTCCCAACATAAAATTTTGTAGCGGGAAAGTCATTTTAGCCAATGCTGACAAATACACAAACCTGCAAAAATCTACTAGCTCCTGTCACGTTTAGGCTATTTTTTTTTTTCTGTCTCTAAAACAGACATACTTCAAAGGACTTGTTGGAAACAGTTACTACAACTCAGACACATGCAGAACCTCCACCAGTTTGGGGAGGGACGGGGTGTTATGCTGATCATGTGACCTTATGATGGTTAGATACCAGACCTGCATCAGTAAATTCCTATTAAATACTGCACAAAATCCTGATTCAAGTTACAAAGTTAATCACTCCAAAGTTTAGAAATGCCAGAATTACAGCTGTCTGTCCTACCTGAATTTCACCTGCTGTGCACATATATCCCTTTTTTGCTGCACTTACTCATTTTTGCATTAGGTAAATAACAAAGCCGTTTCCTCAGCATCCTGGAGTCACTCAGCAGACAAGCTGGGTACCAGAATTTGATTCAACATTATCAAAACTTTTTTTTTTTTTTCCCCTTGGGAAGGACTAACATTTTTGGAAAAGTTTTACCTTATAACAAACAAGTGACATGAAAAAAACTCAACCAACATTGTGAAGTCTGTCAAAGTTATAACTGAAAACAAAGTTTTCAAATGGAACCTGTACACACGGTCTACATTAGAAATGGCTTGGAGTGAAACACATACAATATAATTAAATAGATACGACAAATCTGTAAAAAAATTGCAATTTGGTTCAAATAAACTGTTTAAATTATCAGTTTTTCGTGAATCTTAAATGAGATGTAGGAATGAAGTTCTGCAAATACTGCACTGATTACTTCATCAGACCAGGCGCAGGTTCTCAACTTATTTTCGGCACAAGTTTGGGACCTAAACTATTGTACATCAGACAGCTGAAATAGCTATAATGCTTTTTGATCCTTGTGATTTAGGTCAGCTTCTTCATTAAACACTTCAAAAGGGTGTTTACATATATATTCTCAACAAGACCTAACGCTTTGGGGAATCCTGTACTACTCTTGCAATAATACCCACGTATCTGCTTTTCCTTTCAATTCAATGCTAGCAGGACAGTTGAAACCTTCCGAAGAAAACAAAATCCAACAGTCAAACCACATTTGGGGTACAGCCTTACAGCTTCTCCTTGTGTAACTCACAGGCAAACGGAAGCCCAGTAAATACAGGATGCAGCCTTGGTGGGGATAAATCAAGTTTGCCTCTTCTCTCTCACTGATGCTATTGATAATATTGGGAGCTATATGCTCATATGGACAAGGAAGAATTAGAATTTAAAGCTTATGAGAAAAGCAAAGACAGCTGTCAAAATAAACCTAAGAAATTCCTACCCTTTTGCATAAAAATGATGAAAGGATGACTGTAGGTGATGCAACATGCCTTACAAAAGCACCAGTATCGACATGTGTTTACATCTTATTTTTCATAAATTACATTATATTCATTTCAGTCAGTGGTCTAAGGAAAAAATTAATAGTCTGTAGACTTATACCCAAGTTGTAGGGTCCATTAAGCTACTGTTTCCCTGATGAACTCAATGACTTGTATGAAAATCCATACAGGGATTTGGCTTAAAACATGACCTTTTCGCAGTGAGTTAAGGTTTACATCTTTATTGCCAGTCAGAACCAGATAAAAACAAATACACTAACTTTTAGAACAACTTCTTCCCGCAACTTCATTTCAGTGTTTTTCCTATTTTTTATCTTGTCTATGAATTTTTGAAAAAATCTAAAAACTGACTTAGTTGGAACCGAGATACCATTCTGCACGTGCATACAATGCCATCATTTAAAAGAAGTGTCTTGGCAATCAAAACAGACTACATGGACAACTCCTTTCCATTTCCATCTCCCCTGTTTCCTGCCCCAGAAACCTTTCTGATTCTCTCTGAGCTCCAGCAGAAATGCTGCACAGGGAAGGGCTGAAGCCAGAAGATGGCAAGGGCCCTTCACCAGGGCATTAGTGCTTACATTTCAGTGTGGTGGGAGGTGCATACAGGAAAGGAAAAGAAGCTTTCTACTTCTAAATATTCATGTCAGACTTTCTACAGACTCCAGAAGTTACCAGACCACCAGCTACATCTGTTCATACTTGGAAGTTCTGCATGTAACCAAAGAGGAACAGATTTTCTTTTTAAATTTGTTTTTAGCAAAGGACTGAATTATGCCCAGTATAGTCCATGGGCCACATGCAGCTCACTAAATAGTTTGAATACCCTAATTAAAAAAGTTACTTTGGAAAAAGATATTTATATATGCACATATTTTTTATATATGACAGAGTGACTGAAAAATCATAATATGTAAATGTATACGTATACACAAACACATATACAAATATTTAGTTGATCTTGTTGTAATTAAAGATCAGGTTATTCCTCCAATTCCCTTTTGTCTTCTCAGAAATATTTTATTAACACAGCATCTTATGAAGCCGTTTCATAACGCAGCATGTTATGAACAGCACCGCAAAAAGAATCAGCAACCACACCTAGTGGTTCCAACTCTTAGAAGCCAACATTCTCAAAAGAGTCTATTGGGCATCAAAATCCACGAGATACCTTTAGGGACTCCTTATCTGTAGAGAGCGTGAAGCTCAGCTTTGAAAAACAAAAGCCAACAGTCAGATCCCTTCTATAACATTTCAGTTGGCTTCTCCAGAAATATAAGCACTGATAAAAACAGTCAAATTACAGAATGACAGCTCATATATGATTTATTGACCTCTGAAACAAGTACACATCTCTGGAAGACTTCTTAAAATTCTGAAAGATTAAAAAAGCAGGTACTACTTTGTAAGCAAAGATCATGAAACTGAACAGGAGTGGTGACTTTTGAGCATGTGATTTTTGTATTGACTAGGCATGGTGGGGCTACTTTCAGGAGTAAACTGCAGGTGGGCTGGTGAGATCAAATCTTTGAAAATACCCCATTGTATCAACATACTTTAAAAGTGGTTATGCAAAAGGAATATTTCCTCAATAAAGCCCAATGCTCTATAAAACGAGCTGAACAAAGTAAAATCTAGATGTTAATACAGAACTATTATTTCAAACCTCAAATATAATTTTAGAGTTTTTTTATCCTGACATCTCAATGACAGCCACTAATACAGGACCTTCCAAACAAGAACACTGTAATTATCCAGTCCACTTACATGCCACATTCTTCAGAACACTCTTGTGACCTAATTTTTTCTCAGCCGTTAAAGTTGTGTAGTGCTGTTTTTTTAATCCTGAGACTTTCTCTATTGCCAAAAGTTAGCATTCCTTTTGATTCCTCTGTAAAGTTTTACTAATTAGTCCAGGTTTCAACTTGTCAGAAACTTGGGTGGGTGTAGCGAATTTGCACTAATAAAATATTAATTTCTTATATCCAAAAATAACTTACGTACTGTCTACGAGGAAATTCTGCCAAGTGATGCAGCTAAATCTGTTCAGCAGTTACACTGAGCAGTTATTCAGATTGCAGTATTCTGCTCTTATTTGCCTCCTTCTGCTACACCTAATTCCTGACTCATAACTTGCACATAACACTTCTGATTATGCAGAGTATGAGTTATTAGATCAGGCCTGAGTGGCCAGATTTGTACTGGTAGTAAGTCTTTACACTTAAAAGAAAAAATACAAATCAGCATTTTTCAAAAAGAATGCTTTCTTCCAGAAGTACCAATGCAGTTTTACCTATATCTGTATAGCTTATCTTCTCCTGCAAACACAGATGTACCACTGTGTGCACCTTTGTCCTAGCAAACCCTGAAAGAAGCACTGGAAGGACCCTAACGGCTGTCTCTTTCACCTCTACCAGTGGGGTACAATAAACCAACAGCGAGCTCTAAAGTCTTAGAATAGTATCAGTTTACACAAGCAATGAATCCAGTGATTTCAAATAAGACTTTTGGTCAATTGCTTAGCTATAGAAAGGTATATCAAGCATATCCCAATAATACTGAATCAATGCCTCAAAGAAAAATTCATTTTGTTATTAATGAAAAGACTTAAAACAGAATAAACTAATTAGCTGTTTGTCTGCTTAATCCTCTTGCTGAGGAAAAAAAACATTTCAACTCTAAGCAGAAGTGCTTTCTGTTCTATTAAAAACCTATCACAATGTTAATAATGCTGCAACCATCTGACAGTGGAGAGTAATAGCAGGCCAGGTCTCATTCTTTGAGTTTGCACAACTGAAGCGGATCACTCATTAATAAACAATTACCAGTTGTCAATGAGTTGACAGAAAGAAGAGATACCACAATAATTTCCACTCTGAAGAAATACATCTATTGATATGACCAAGCAATTGTCAATGCCTAGAATAATTAACATCATGATTGATTCAGACAAGCGTTCTGCATTTGTATCTGGTAAGTTTTGAGCTTTACCTGTCTTGTCTTTGCTGATGTTTCAATGAAAGGAATTCCATAACTTCTTGCTAAGTCCTGAGCTTGTTTTGTATCTACTGTTCTGGAAGGCAAATCACATTTGTTTCCTACTAGCACCATTGGGACATCTTCAGAGTCTTTAACTCTCTTTATTTGTTCCCTAAAAAGAAAAGAAAAAAAAAAAAGGCAGATTGTATTTAACAGGTATCAGTAGTTTACACGGTATATTTTAGAACAATTAAAAAAAAATTAAACTAAGATTCCAACATCAGTCTTTATGATAATTTACAGCACATACACTACTAGAAGTCACCAAAAAATAAACTGACCAACCCTGTCACCATCAAGTTTATCTTACTTAAAAAAATAAGAGGTTGACATTTTGCAAACTACTATAGATTTTGATGTTATTACACTTTTTTTTCTTTTGTTGTTTTTAGTTTTTAACTGCTAATGCCAGAAGAAGCCTAAGAAGCTTACTACTTATCTCATACTCAGCACTCATAATACTCAATTTGCTAAGACAGAACACTGTCAAAAGCACTATGCCTGTTGTCTCAATTTTGGTTTGGTCTTGGGGGGTTGCTTTTTTAATTCAAGACAGCATTACTAACTCTGCATCTAGTCAGGAGTTTTTAAACTTTGAAGACCACTGGTCTGGTTCTCTACAAAGAGAAATTTGATAAAGGAGTCCTTTCAAACACTAGTTAGAAAGCATCTTGAAATACTAGTTAGATGTACTTGTCAAGAATCTCAAATAATAATAATCATCATCATTAATTTCATTACTTTTGCCTTCCCAAATAATCTAGCAGTATGTTTCTTAATTAATATAATCACTGTTTTCAGTTATTTATTTATAAGCCTTCAGATTCAGTCTGCAAGGTCATCCAGAGGTGTGTAAATGCAAAGCTGAAACTCCAGCATTCAACTCACAACATTCTTTGCAATAAACTGAGTAGGTTTTGTTATGCAAATCTGCAAATTCGCTCTCTTTAAAAACAAAAATTGCACAAAAAAGCTTTTATGCTCCTTCTTCCCCTTACATCAACATCTATCTTACTTTTCCCTTCTTCCTCTACAACAAGAGGAAACCCTTTTGTAATAATCTGGTTAGATAATGAAGAAAAGTTTAGTTTTTCTAAGATTTTTTTTTAATTTGTCATCCCTGCTGTGCTAACTCTTAACTGTTTCTTTTTCTTTTTTTTTTTTTTAAAGTCACCTGTACAAATACATTCAAATGGACCATTTTATACATAATGAAATTTATAGAAAGGCTGGCTAGCTCAATTTAAATACAAAAAAGAAACAGTCCTGAAAGAAAGCGCCCACACACATTCTCAATATTGATCCCTCCCTGGGTTAGTAAGCAACAATTTTGCCCCTCATGTGCAACAGTACTCCCCTGATCTCACAGATGCTCCAAGGAGATAAGCCAGTAGTGAACTATTTCTGTAGGTAGGCACCTGCCTGCTCAGCCACTCACATCAGCGCACCGCACAATCAAATGAGCTGACTTGCTGGCATACAGGAGAAAACACAACTACGCGATCAGGGCAGTGGCACCTGCTGACTTCAATTACCTTGAACTGTCATGGAATCCCACCCGTTGTAACAAAAATGTGCAACTTCAGCTTAGGAGTAAATGTTGGGTTTATGGGTAATACTGATAGCAAAACACTCCTCCACCATACAGCAACATAGATCTGACAGCATTATCAATGCCTAACTATGAATAGCTTAATAGTACGTGTTTGGGACTAATCTTAAACTGATGCCACTAAACTCAGCGATCTTTGGTGGGATTTGCATTGCCTTCTATCAGAATACCAAAGGAGAACTCAGTATAATAGTAAGTTACTAAGTCATAAATGATCTGGTATGGTAATCGCCAGAGACTGCTTCTATTTCTATATTAGTGTAGCTGACAAAGAAAGCATGAGTTGAAATTTTTAACTGATTATAAAAAAAAAGAAAGAAAACGTGAAGAGACTAATAACAGGTTGTTTTTCACCGGTCATCCTGGAGCTCAGATTTTCTGTATGTCTCCCCTCCTTAGGCACTAGGGCTCACACATATTAGTCTTCTAATAACATTCCACAGGTATTTCTCCTCCACCCCCAGAACAAAATTTAACAATTGACATTATTGTCTGTACAATTTCACTTGGGTAAGTTTTTCCATCTTAACACACAATTTTATTTATGGAATGGGCAGAGTTCACCTTTAGGTAAGTCTTCACTGTGAACAGGCAGAAATTCTAAGTCACATTAGCTTATAACAGAAGACCTTTCAGATATTTTGTCCACCCAACTTGCCAAGGAGGCAGAAGATTTTCAGATTACCCAAAATTACAGACCTACAAATGCACAAATAAATTGCAATATGGCTAATTTGCAAATTTCCCCTTTGACGCTATTTCAGAAGAGATCATTCTATTATCTACCGTAAGAGCAAGTAACCTATCCACCTAATACAACAGTTAGATGATTCACTTTCAATATACACACCTATAATGATGAATATCTTCAAAAGACTTTGTATTGTTTATAGCAAACACACACAGGAAGCCTTCCCCTGTTCTCATATATTGGTCCCTCATTGCACTGTATTCTTCTTGACCTGCTGTATCAAGAATATCCAAGAGACAGGTTTCTCCATCAATTACTACTTGCTTCCTGTAGGAATCCTAAGAAAATAAAAAAAACATAAGCCTTGGTTAAACACAAACAAGTAAGATTCAAACACCTATAACTCAGAAGGCATTAAAGTTGTTTACTACTAATTGAGCATGACTGAAAACAGCTGAGATTTAAAATCCAACTTTACAGGTGGGAAAATGACAGTAGGAAACTAGTGTCCTGTATTTACATGTATACAGTAATCTAGAAGTGGAAAGAACACTGAAAGGACATGTTCTTGTCTGTATTCTGAATCTTCAGTGAGTAACAGTACATGTGTGCACACACACAGAAACAGGACAGTGTTCTTATTTTGCACAAAAGGACAAAAAGTACCAATTGGAGCCAGATCAGAAGCATCTCCCCTTTGTCTCCATTAATAGCAGAATTGAAGAAATTTGTAATCCTAATTTGAAGAGATTTGGCTTTGCTTAAACTTGCTCAATTTACAAAATTTTTTTAAAAGTAAATTTGACCTTAATTCTATGGATGTTTACAAAAGCATTATGCCACAACAATGTACAAAATAATAAAATAGAAAGAATTCACAAGTAAGACAACTCCAAAAGTCTATGCCACTGAAAACAAGATGAAGTATAAAAAGCCTTCAGTGTTTGGGATGGGAAATTTGTTTTGTATGCCTAAGCAGGTGCATATAATGATGCTTGTTATTAAGCTATCAAAGTTGAATTGATATATTTGAAGTCCAAGCTTTTTAGCCACGACAGACCAACACAGACTCATATAAAGCCCTGATAGGTTGGTTCACTGAGACGTCGGAACAAATTATTTCAATGCCATCAATTCAAACTTTTCAGGTCAGATTCAAGCTGCTAAAATCTGCGCAATGTCCCAAGCAAGTAGATATTAATGCCTATTTACAGCTCTTTTTGGTGCTGGGCTTCTATAACCACACAGTTTTAGCAATAAGAACATAAGCACTACTTTCCCAGTCCAGTAATTCTATTTTTGATAAACATCTATATATTTGAAATAAAACCATGACAATAAGCTTTAAAAATAGGTCATTGAGCAGTGCCATGAATTATCCTCAGTAAACAGTGCTTGTAACAAATTAAAAGTATAAACAAAATCTTGGTATTACCTTTAAGATCATTTAGCTAGAGATTAACACAATATGGGTATTGTTCTTTTTAACACTACACTGAAGTGAACCTAAGCCATTGGGAAGGGAATTAAAGTTGCAACCTAGCCAACTTCAAGATGAATTCAAAAAGACGTTCCTTCCTTTGTAGCCAATTTAAGGCACCGTACACTTACTCCTGTGCACTTTCTAGCTATTTGTATTTTTACAAAAAGCTCTCTTCTTTCCTGTTTCTCACGCTAAAAAACAAGCAGGAGATAATTGTATAGAATCAGTATCTTAAACTAAACAAACTCTGTAATCTCACATTTATCTTGATACTGTTAAATGTCATCCAGGCTCAGGTAAAACAGTATTGACTGTTTACCTTAAAGACAAAAGGTTACTTCCAACATGATTTTGGAAATATTTATTTCAGAGAAGTGCAAATTTTGCATTCAAGTAAGAAGTACACAACTTACTTAAAAATATATAAGCCATGTTTAAATACTGATACAGCTGAGACAAATACACAAGCTCCAGCATGTATTAAGATAAGCTTAATATTCTGTTTCATTGCTTAAAGGAAAAAAAAAAAAACACACAAAAAAACCCCCAAATGCTGCATCTTTATTCCAATTCACTTTAAATTCAACAGGAGATCCTCCATGTCCTATGACACCTTCTTATCACAGTTCACAGTGAAGTACTAGTAGAACTTCTAGCACTACACTAGGCATATTTACAAAGCTTTCATTTTCTCTTCTTGCAATTTGACTGCTAGTTTAAAAATATGAAAAACAGTTCTTGAAAAGCCTGCATCATTCCTTTACATCTTAGCACTTCAAAGGAAAAGAAATTCCACTCAACTGAGCTCTAAACAACAGCTTTAAGTAATTTTCTTCAAATAAAATAATTTTTAAGGGAAAATAAAAGAAATTTTAAGAACTGCTGGCTTTAGCATGCCTACCATGGTAGGAGCAGTAGCAAAGATGCACCAGCATAAAGCACAGCACAGGTACAAGAAGGAATGCTTTGAGATTTGTTTTGCCCACTTCTGGAGAGAAAATTTTGTCACCAACTAGAAAGGGGATTTGAGGCGGACAGAAAAGACAGACATGGGAGAGAAGTTTCAAGCTTATTATTTCCTTCCAAGCTACTGAAATTAAATAAACACTCTGCTCTTTTGCCTTTTTTTCCCCTCCCCTGCAAAACATCAAACCTGAAATCACATTTGTCACTGTAGGAAAGAAAACTGAAGCACCACATTAAAACCTCAGGCTACTGAAACCCCCACCCTCATTGTGGTGAATATCAGTGTAAACATACCCAAGACAAAAGTTGTTTATTGATGTGTTACCATACTGTATAAATTACCAAGTCCTGCAAAACAGAATGTAGGATGTGCCACAAAGCAAGTCACGCCACTATAGTGCTTGTGGCACTTCAGCTTCAAAATGCAACTGCGGAACCCAAGTGGCCAGACTCCCCTTCAACAATGAAAAAAACCAACCTTCTAATCAATACATTTCATCATTTATAAAAATCCAGTAGATTTACTGCACATTGGAAAATTTGGAGTAATGAATGCAATGAAGAAACATCCAGTGTAAGGCTATTAAGTAAAAACAAATGCAAACTAGAAATTTCAAAGTACTACATGACTTCAAATATGAATTTGCAATTTTTCCCCAGTATACGTACTCAGCATATATATACCAAAAAGTCTTAATTTCATTAATCACTTAACTTGCTTTTATTGGCCTTTCACAAGCCATAAAAATCTTTTGTAATAATTCCATCTCCATCTGTTCAGAAGAATATTTGATATGAAATCTCAGCTATATGCTACCTACGGAATTTATCTAAAAAAACCCACTGCTTAATAAATCCCATCTAAGCGAGTGACTATTATTTTGTAAAAATCCATTATACCAGTGATTTAATATTAAATCAATATTAACATGTCACAGCTACTATTACTAAATATTGGTGGAAGTTTCACAAGTGCATAGGTCATTTAAAAACACGGACTTAAATATCAGTATTCCTAAATCAGGCAGGAGATTTTGCTAATCCAATTGAAAAACCTCTGACAAGCAGCTAGGAAGGCTGTTCTTTCTCTAGGACACTTAAAATATGGCACATATTTAGCACTAAAATATATTGAAGCTGTAAAAAAAAAAAAAAATTTAAAACTATGTTATCACGCAAGGTATTGCAAGTAAAGATTAAACAAAACTCGACCAGCAGAGGGCACTAGTCCAACTGTTCGGTGTGTTAGGCCAGATTTACAAGGGTTAGTGGATATACAGTGAAAAAAAAAACACCTAAAACCGCTTGGCTGTAAATCTGTGCTTGGACATCTACTTCAAATAAGATATGGAATTGTGAAACACATATAAAGTATGTATTTTTGAATAACAGTAGCCACCCAAACATGCACTCAATTCCTCCCCCTGCCCCCTGTCATCTGCTACGCTCAGATATAAGGAGATAAAATACTCAAGCAGGCCATGAAACTTGACATTTTCCAAACAAGTTTTTTGTTGAATCATTTAGTCTATTTCACTGAAAACTGCAACAACACTAATGTTGTAAATGCATCTGTGATTAAGTAACTAGTATATTTTTTTCCTCTCTTCAACTGCATCATGTCTTCACAACATAAGAATTTTAGAAGTGTTGGGTTTCATTTTTTTAATCACAGGAAAAATTTGGAACTATTCAATAACTGTGTAGTTATGGAATCCACTACAGATAACAAACATTGAACTCTTTTCTCTGTCTACCCCAAAATATTTAGCTTGATCATTTATTTGTGAGGGAAAATTAGTATTTTGGCAACAGCCATACGGCAATGAAAGAAACAGTAGTAAGCAAGAAACAATAGTAGTTGCACTACTGAACTGTCTTAACTGTTATTATTTACCAGACAAAGCAATTTTAGCCTTATTTCCTCATACTGCATAAAAAACACTCTACAGCTATTGTTCTTTGATCAGTCCCTACCACCACAACTGCATCTACACAGGAAGCACCATGAAGCAACCCTTCTCCACTGAATGGGATTCTGCCCAGGCAAGGACTGAAGCCTTTAAACCCAATTGCAAGTCAGCTCTCTAGAACCTGTCTGCCACTCCAAATCACAGACCGCTCTTATATTAACTGAATTATTTCTTCCCGACAAGCTTACCTACATGTATAGCACCGTGAGCACACAAGATGATTTGCCACATAATAAGAAGATACAGTCTCCATCCTCAAGGTCTCTGAATTTGCAAGACAAAACTGGTAACTAATGCTCAGACAAGAACTTGTAGGAGTTGCAGAAGATTGATACTGTTGGATGTGACAAGTTGTTGATACTGGTAAAACCCATTAGGTTAAAGGTTTCTTTCTTTCTTTCAGAAGAATATATTGATTCCAGACCACAACACAGTGTTACAGTCACCCTGCATACTACTGAATAAAAGCCACAGTTCAGGGACTTTAGGTTCTTTCTATAAGGAACTGTATTTTCATTTTAGTATTTTACATTAAAATGTATTTGGTATTCCTCAAAATACTCAGCTTGTTGATTAGCAAAATGCCTCAAGTGGTTTAGGAATACTGGCATTTAAGTTTTTGTGTTCCTAAATGGTTTACACAGTTCTGGCTTTATATGACAACTTCTGATATAGAACCTCCACAGTGCTTTCTCATGCATAAACACACCTCTAATGTAAGAGAAACCCAGATTATGAACAATTATTACAAGGACCAGCATCCCCCAAAGTTCCTTTTGCAGGAAAAAGTAAACTCCCATTTTGCTTGTTCCTCTCAATGAGTTTTGTGTGTTTTCTGTTTCTTTAAGCATGTTTTGGGTTGTTGTTGCTTTAAGATTTCACATCTTAGTAATTAAAAGGCCTGCTATCCTAGTACAAGTCAAACACTTCTCCTCTCTCCATAGGTCTATTTACAAAATCTTCTGCAAGCGTACATGAACACACTTGGCCATGCAACAGAGGGACAAGAAGACACATGGGCACATTAAGGTAAACTCAAACTCAAGCCAACACATTTCTATTTGAGGCATGTTAACTCAGGCCTGTACTTCACCAAAGTAAGACAGCTTTGTACCATCTCAGGGCATTGGCTCCTTTCGCTCATGTTTACCTGAAAATTACTACGTAGCCATTTTCCGAGTCACCATTTTAAGCCTAGATTTAAACCCTTGTGATTCCTTCAAGTTAGCTTGGAAGTGCCTCATTGTATAAACATATAAACGAAGTCGCAAGCTACAGAGCTTCAGTGCTGGGAACATACAGATCTTGGGTAAATTATAATATCATTTCTCCTTTTATACGGTCTGAGGTTATTAAATCTAACGATCCAGAGGGAAATTTCAGACAACACTAGTATTTTTCTTATATTTAAAAGGCAGAGCTTGCCTGCTCATTAAAAACCTTTAAAATATCACAACTTTTGAAGCTTAAATATAATTTCAGATTTTGAGGAACTGTGCCATGAATTTCAAAGAATCCACTACAGCACCCATCTTATTTCTTCTAGATGCAGAAACACACACAGTGTGTTTAAAAAAAAATAAATAAAACAAGACTCCAAATTTTTGCTGTATTCACTGTAACATTCCAGGACACATTTCACACTGTGTGAAACAGATCCTAACAACAGGAGCTGAGAAAGCTTGACAAATACATTTCAGAACTACAAGTTTTCCTTCTTAATATCAAAAAGGAAAGTCACATTTTAGAGGTTGCATACAAAGCCATGAAGAGTTTTGCCAAGCATTTTCAAGTGAATTTGGTAAATAGTTTGTCACCAAGATCCTGAAAACATCCATCCAAACTGTCCACCAAACATGGCAACTAACATCATACTTTAGTTGATCAACATTGTTAATTTTTTACTGCAGCTGTTGTTCCACAACCAGATCAAGAAGCAATTTCTTCACCAATGCTGCTCCAATGCTGACCATTATCTTTGAACTCTTTTTATTGAACTCTATTTTTATTACAAAGCTTGCTCTATGTTTTTGTGGTAACTGTCCAAAAGTAAATAACTACCATTATTACTGATAATCTCTCTTCACAAAAAGTATAAGATGAAATTGTTTACCTCTATTGTAGGGTCATATTCATCCACAAAGTGATTCTGAATTAGCTGTATTGTCAAGGCGCTCTTGCCTACACCACCAGCTCCAACGACAACAAGTTTATATTCTGTCATTTTTTAGCAGACCTGATGACAAAGAAACCAACGTTAAGCAGAAAGAGTTAGGCTCCAACTAATGAGGATGCTGTTGGTGCATTTTCATTCAGTATCACGTTCCTTTACTATTACCGGAAAGCAACTCCCTCCCTGAAAGACAAGACAAAAAGCTATGAGGGAATGCTATTTCTCGAACAAAATTATACATAGGAAACATAGTGCAGGCACTAAGCTAACAGTCATCGATTACAAAGAGTTAAAAAAAAAGCAAGAATGCACTAAATTCTCAAAAAGGCCAAAGAATATTTCTTGCGAGGCAAAGATTCCGTCCTCCAAAGCCCCGGTGACTCTGGGAGACCTCCCGCATCTTCACCAAAGCCGGGGCCAAACCCAGCGCCCCTCCGCTTGAGCCACCAACCCGGGAACCCGCCTCCTGCAGCCGGCCGCGCCGGGACAGGCACGGGGGCGAGCGCAGCTTCACCTGACGGCTTCACCTCCTCCCCGGATGGGCTTGTTTTAGCCCAACCCAGGCCCAGGAGCCCCCCCACCTCCC